AAATATATATAGTTTATTGTTAGATTACAGCAAAATGATTGATAATAGGATATGGATAAAGATAAGTGCAAGAAAATATTGTGATCAGCATTTTAATCACACACACTTTAATACTGGAAGCTACTATTAGTTTTGTGGACTAACACCCTAAAATGTCAAAATGTGCATTTCTTGCAAAGCTTGATTTCTAAATTTTCTGATTCACACCTAAAATTTCCAATCTGTTTGGTGTGCACAAACAAAAAAAACTTTTTTTGTCAGTGGGTTGTGAGAATTTGAGTTTGCAACATTTGCATTATTTTATTTCTCAGTAATTACCTGGACCCAGAAGCCTGAGCACAGTGGTGCAAGTTCTCCTTGCTGCATCCCACATTCCAAGACTGTCTCTTGGCTATAAATAAACCTTTAAGGATGTTCTGGGTTTGCCTCAAGTCAGATGTTCCTAAAATAGTCGTGGATATGTGTTTGGCAGCGTATTGATTAGAAAAGCAAAGCACTTTATCTGGCATCTTTCAGCATGGAGAAGTAGGGCACACAAAGAAACCTCAGAGCTACAGAAGTTATATGGTGCACTTCCGTTTCTATTCTTATTCTTCCTGACTTATCTAAAACTCAAAACTTAAAGGTACTCATTGCAAAGTACAAAACAAGTATTGCTAACTATTTCTAGTTATATCAAAATGTGCACCTATAGTATAATGTTCATGACCTGTCGTCAGGAGATTTCCACTGTCCCTATGGTCCCACATTATATGTGCGCTGATACAGTTTTTGCATTGTTATGCTTCACAATTATATATATTTTCTGTGCTAGGCTCGCCCCGTGTCAGCTCGTCCCACCATGGCTGCTCTGCTGGAAAAGATGCCACCTGACTACACCCTGGCAACCTGTCCGGAGAAACCATCTGAGGACACCATCAAAGTAAGACCTGTGGTGCCTCAGAAACCTGAAGACATCACTTCCAAGATGCCCGCTGACTGGAGGCAGCAACTTCTCAGGCACATAGAGGCTAAACGGTTGGATAGGGTAGGTGGATACATCCCAGACAGTAGCAAAGCACACACACACAAACACACAGCATTTGGAAGTCCCCCTGTCTGTATCCGTGTAAGTCTGTGTTGTAAGGTTGACCAGATTTGTGTGCAGCTGCATGTGTGTCCACTTCACACTGTCGCTGTGTCAGCCTGACCTTCTGCACACTCATCACTGGATACATGCTTTGATGATCACATTTCCTTACATGCAGTTCAGTAAAGTCTCCATCGTGAAAAACAATCTGATCTTGTGTCACGCCTTTTTTTTAAACAAGTGCAAAGTCATCAAGATGACTCTAGTAGACTGTTTGAAATAGCTTGTTTGAAAATTTTAAAACAACTAAAATTATTTAAATTTCTGAGACACCACTTATCAATAATGTTTTTTTAGTAAGTGCATTGAGAAGCACATTTTTGCTGTTTTTTTTCACTTGTTTAAAAAGACAAAAGATCCTCTGAATCATTATCAGTGATGAGAATATATGTCAAAAATAAACACTGTAGGACCATTGTAGGAGCCACTTGCTTAAGATAGATGCAACATTTAGTAAAATATTCCCTTGCCATAATTTAAATAATGAGATACAGTATTGTAGAACGTTTTACGTTTGAATGCTAAATATTAAGCTACAAGCCAATAGCTTAACTCAGGCTTGAGTTCAAACTAATTAATTTGTTTAAAAATAAAATATTAAACTTGAGAATTATCAAGCTAGTGTTTAACATTTGCTTTCTGAGTCTGTACAATAAGTGTAATATCAGTTTTAGGTTTCAGAGAGAGCAGCTATGAGGTTCTTACAGGAAACGTTCATGTTAGTTTTTACACTGTAATTTATTTTTATTTTATTAGAGAGCTCTAGGCAGCACGGTGGCGCAACTGGTAGAGCTGCTGCCTCTCAGCGAGCAGGTCCTTGGTTCAAACCCCGGACCAGGGGCCTTTCTGGGTGGAGTTTGCATGTTCTCTCCGTGCATGCGTGGGTTTTCTCCGGGTACTCCGGTTTCCTCCCACAGTCCAAAAACATGCATGTTAGGCTGATTGGTAACTCTAAATTGTCCCTAGGTGTGAGTGAGAGAGTGAATGGTTGTTTGTCTCGTTTGTCTCTATGTGGCCCTGTGATGGACTTGCGACCCGTCCAGGGTGTACCCCGCCCCTCGCACAGTGATTGCTGGACATGGGCACCAGCGACCCCCGTGACCCAAAGTGGAATAAGCGGGTAAAGAAAATGGATGGATGGATGGATGGATAGAGAGCTCTAGAGTTGCTCATTTGCAGTCATGTTTTTGTGGGGAACTATGATTTGACTCTAGCTTCACACTTACAAAACACATTTGAACAAGAAGCCCTTTCCTTTTAATTATAGAAATATAACAATTAAACTTTTTTTTTTTCTCTCAAAATGTTAAGCTAGTAATTTTTGCACTAGCATCTTATTTGGCATGCATATTCAGTTAGGAATGACGTCTGGACATCTGGAGCAGATATCCTTTGAAAACAGCTCAAGGAAGCATAGTAAATATACAATAACTTCCTTCTAATCAATATCAAATACAGTATCGTCATCACAAACATTAATTCACTTTGACATTTGAAATGTAGAAAGGAAACACCAAGCCACCTCAGCCATCCATGTTTTTACAATAATACCTTATAGGTATCAAATTTCCTAGGTATTATATATTGTGTGTTGAAATATTCCCATATATTACTCTGACAGCTTAAATACTAGCGTTGGGAGTGAAACAATCCACCTCTTGTTGCTTGTATGACACAATGTTATGTGTGTATTGACCAGTCACTAGCTAACATTTCTCTGTGCTTTCAGCAACTTTGCACTGTTGTTGTTGGTTTTATCCGTGTTCTTGTTGTTTGTATGTTGGTTTCGTGGAGCTGTGTTGCCTCGCAGTGTTGGCTCCACCTCTCTCCCCTCCCCCTCATTCACCTGTGTCGTGTGATGTTGTCTCCTTCAATCAGAGTGGTGTCCTAAAGCACAACACGCTCACGCTGGGCATGCTCTATCAGGGCGGGGGTCAAGGCCAGGGGCGCAGCAGCACTTTGAACTTTAACCTTTACAATAACACTAGGCATGAGTCCCCTGCTGGCCACTGGCTGCCTCTACCTCCTCCTCCATCTGCCATCACTGTGAGTATCCCCACTGAAAACAATGAAACCCTGGTTACTCCTT